AAAAAAAAAAAAAAGAAAGAAACCACTATACCAATCTCTACCTGATTCTAAGGAAGGATGCATAGGGTTGGATGCTGTCATAAAGGTGAAAAGATGAAAACTTCAAAACTTCAACATGCCTCAGAACATAAAGCAGCATCTTTATTAAAATCGCTAGATAAGACAAGAGCAGGGCTTTCGGCCCTGGATGTTTGACCTGAGACCTAGCTGCTTCTGCCATGGTATTATATGAGAGCTTCTTTTAGACCTAGTTAGACCTTATCTCTCTTAATCCACAGTAAGCCTAGAGATGACCTTCTGGAAGCCAGCTCCTAACCAGGTCTTTTTTATTTTTTTAATCCCTTACAGCATCATATTGAAGGCAAAAAGCAGCAAGTAGAAGCATATTTTGAGAAGTTTTACCAAGATCTGGAGGAGCAGAAGTGTTTCCTGTTGTCCATGCTGAGGGAGCTGGAGCAGCAGATCTGGAAGGAGAAGGAGCACTACAACTCAGTGGTCTCTGAGGAGCTCTGCCAGCGTGAAGTCCAGGTCAAGGAGCTGGAGGAGAAATGTCAGCAGCCAGCAAGTGAGCTTCTGCAAGTGAGAGACACCCACCACCCCGCAGAAGAGGGACCCCACAGGAAGGGAACACCGTGGGGCACTAGGAGATCCTGGGGGACGCAGGAAGGGGAGGTGGAGGTCATCTGGTTGTTTTGGCTGAAAGAAACTACAGGTGTGCAGGCCCAGAAAGGCTGGAGGAGCTCCATGGGTGACCCACGGGGGACAGGCCAGGGGCTTTGGTGGCTAGAGGCTTGGGTGGAGTGTTGACCTGGGCAGGTCTTGCAAGCTCTTTAAACGTGGACTTGACAATAGCTCCTCCCTCAAAGACGTGTTACAAAGACGAAGGAAGAAGAATCCCTGTGAAATGAAGGATTCCTGATTCCTGATACCCAGGAAGAACTCAGTACAGGATCCCTGTTGTGCTTATCATGACATGATCCCATTTCACGGTCAAGTCCAGATGATAAGGCAAGGCCTAGTCCTTCTTATCTCTTAATTGTTGAAGGCAGAACATACCCCCAGGAAAGCAGAGCTAAAGAAAAGCTGCTCATGTGAATGGATTACAGTGCACGGAAGCAAGATATAAAAGAGCAGTGTGATAAGGAGGCAGTTAAACAGGCTCAGCTCTCTGCAGGAAGAAAGGTGTATAGAACCTAACGGAAAGGGGGTGTGGGAACTAAACCCATGTTTTTTCTTTTGTAGGATGACAGAGTCAACCAAAGCAGGTAGGCCGCTCCCCAGTGCCGCCTCCTTCCTCTCTGCCTATGCAATGCTCTTTCATGCATCTTGCCTCCTTATCGGGGACATGGAGACTGAGGGTGGAGGGGAGCCCATGGGCTCCTCCCCTCACTTGACCTCATGGCTGCACAGAAAAAAAAAAGCACTTACACACATGAACTCCCCAACCGAAAGGTATAGGTACTGGTTTCATTTTCAAGTGAGGGATGGATTGCTGTGCGAACATATTTTTTCCCCTTTAAAGAGAAGTTATAAATAATAATCATTGGGGCCTCCCCGGGGGCGCAGGGATTAAGTCTCAACGCTATCAAGATATCGCCATGAGTTCTATCCCCATCCAGGGAGCTGACCAACATGGTGCAGCAGACCTCTCCTGACCTGCCCTCTGTTCCCCTCAGCGGTGTGTTTCACTAACTCCACTTATCCTGCTCCTCACTGTCTCCCCACTGCTCCCCCCTGCACCTCTAGCCTACACCCCAGTTCTTATATGCATAAATAAATAAATAAACCTGTCTTGGGGCTTATCCAGTAACACCTACTTAATCCTTGAAATTATTAGCACTTGAGCTAGCACTTAGCACCATCTAAAATGTTACCCTAAATGGAATTTTTTTTATAGACTAGGATAAGCACAGAACCTGGGAAGCCCAGCCTGCTTATTCAATCATTTTCCCATTTAATGTCCTCATTTCCTTCAGAATTTCAAATACTGCTATAAAGTGCAGCCACCAGGAGCTTGGAGGCATTGTACATGTGTGCTTCTCTCTTTCCCACTCTGCTCTAAGCATTGCCAGTCCTGGGGAGAGCAGAGACTACAATTGGGGAGCACTGTCATATACTATGTGTCCAGCATGGGGCGGACTGGAACCTAGGTGTCCATGAATCATACTTTCCAAAGAGAGTTAGACTTTTTTTTTTTAAAGATTTTTTATTTGTGCACACAGAAATGGGGTACAGGCCAGAGGCACAGGGGCAGTGAGAGGATTCACCAGACACAGAGTGGGGAGCAGAACAGACAGATGGACAAAATATACTGCTGAGAGGAGCTGCGGGTGAGACAGGAGAGGCCTGCTGTGCCATGTGGGTCACCTCCGGGGCGGGGATCGAACTCACACAGAAAGGGCCGCAACCAGCTTCACAGTGCTGCCATTTAACCCTCTGTGCCACCAGGAGGGCCCCTTATTCAACATTTTTTATTGAACTACTGTTATTTTTTTTAAACAGATTTATTTATTTATGCATACATAACTGGGGTACAGGCCAGAGTTGCAGGGGATGGGGAGCAGAACAAGCAGATCTACTAAGTACACTGCTGAGGGGAGCAGCGGGCAGGTCAGGAGAGGTCTGCTGCGCCATGTGGATCACTTCTGGGGCTGGCAGGGATCAAATTCATGCAGAAGTGGCTTTAGCTTCTTAGTGTTGTGCTTTAACCTGCTGTACCACCAGGAAGGGCTGAGAGTTAGACATTTAAATCTAAAAGTACCTTGGACACCTTCTACTCTGAGGAAGAAGCTGAGACTTGAAAGGGGAAGTGCTTGCTTAAGGTCACACAGCAAGCGACAAGCAAGGACTGACCTGAAACCAGGACCATGGGCTTTTTCGTTGCAGTATATGTTTTCTTTCATTTCATTTTCTTTCCTTCTCCCCACCCCTTTCCACTTTATAGTGAATAGCACATACATTAGAAATGTGTTGTATTTTTTTTTTAAAGCTTTAGAGGACAATAAAGTGGTACCTTATTGTCCTCTAGAGGCGAATAGGGGTAATGACTTCTGCTTACAGCTACATCAGGCTTTTGAGGTGCGATTACTATTAATCTCTCTTAAGTCTAATTGAAATGCCCCTAGCTTTAGAAGCTAGGTAAAGCTTTAGCAAAGGTAAAGAAATGGAAGTTATCAATCTAATTATTCACCACAGACACCAAGCTACTTTACTATGATTTTAGCTTCACTTGGTCAGTTTGATCCAAGTGCTGTTTTTGGAATTGGAACCTAACTGCCTCCCAATGACCTGCAGGTGTGAGGAGAAGACTTTCATGCGCCCAACGACCCTTTCTCTTGACCTCATCGAGAGGATCCGGGATCTAAACAGCAAAATGTACATCCTCCCAAACATGATGAGGGCCTTCTCAGGTAAAGGGGGAGGAGCGGTGGCTCCCCTCACGTTAGCAGCCCTCTGGGTGTCCCTTTTCATCTCTTCTGTCTCCCAAACCTGGCTTAAGACATCTTCCTTCACTAAGCCTCCCCTTAGTGATCACGCCCTGCCCAGGGGCCCATCCTCCAGGCTCCCCACCGCTCCCCAAGGACAGCACTGGACTGAAAGTCCAGGAGGGTGATAACTGCATCTCTCCCACTAGACCCAGAGGAGAAACTCACCCTTCTCGTTTCTAGAACATGCCACCCTTGGGGGCTCACCTGTAATAAACAAGATGTCACAGATCTTTTCTATTTTTGTTTTCCTCAGGAAAGTTGATGCATCATCTCAAAACAGCTACAGGTAAACAGTTGGGGTTTATGGGGGAACTTTCATCCATACTCCTGAATTTATGCATTCAATCCAAGAGAAGAACAATTAAATATATGAATTTGGGACCCAATTGCTTGGGTTCTCTGCTCTAGCCCTTGCATGTTAAGAGACACTGGGAAACCTATTAAACCTTTTTATCCCGTAGTTTCATCTATGCAATGGAAAATGTAATAGTGCCTACTCTATAAGTAGCTGTGACGTAAATGGAATAATACATGCAAAAAGTTTCCTGTAGTGCTGGCACAATTAAGTCATTATTTATTTTTAAAAATGTATCAGAGTTTTTGCTAAGTCATTATTTATTTTTAAAAATGTATCATAGTTTTTGCTTTCTACCCAGCCATATGATAGACTGGAGTGGATTGAATTAAGTAATGTTGTACAATGAAAATAATAGCATTTACTTGTGAATCGGTCAGCTCAGTCTGCTTTTCAAACTCAATGTGCAGGAAGTCACTGGGGACTCATGTTACCTTGTGGGGCCAGAGTCAGTCGGTATGGGGTGGGGCCCTAGAATGCATTTCTTTTTTTAATTAAAAAAATGTATTGAGCTGGGCTCAGCAGGGCTCTGGAGTATGTGTGGGCCGAGGGCTCCCGTGGAAAAACAAATGTATTTATGTATATAAGAACCGGGGTACAGTTCAGAGATGCTGGGGGTGAGAGGATTCACCAGAGACAGAGTGGGGAGTAGAATAGGCAGGTTGATGAAGTACACTGCTGAGGGGAGCAGCAGGTGAGACAATGGAGGTCTGTGTGCAATGTAGGTCGCCTCTGGGGCTGGGGATGGAACTCACACTGAGGCGGCTGTGGTTGGCTTGAAAAGCTGCACTTTAACCCCCTGCGCCACCAGAGAGGTCCCTAGATGGCATTTCTAACAAGCTTCCAGGTGAATGTACCTCTGGTCCATGGCCAGAGCTCAGAGAACAATGCCTGATATACCAGCACCACCTGCAGGTGGGATAGAAGAGTTTTCATCCCCTGTCCTCACGGAACAGAAGGGAACACTGAGGTTCTGGAAGTCAGGCCAGTGGCAGCCTGAGCAGCTTTCTGCTCCCCTCCCCCAGTTTTGGTTGCCAGCTGTGGAGTCTCTCTCCTCCCCCAGGGCTCCTCACTCTGGACCCTCAGACCGCCAGCCTGAACCTCATCCTCTCAGAAGACCTGAAGTCAGTGAGATACACCAGGCACAAGCAGAACCTGCCCGACAGTCCCCTGCACTTCGAGGGTGTCCCTGGGGTGCTGGGCTCCACAGGCTTCACCACGGGGCACCACCACTGGCTGGTGGAGGTGAAGCTGGGAGAAGGCGGCAGTTGCATGCTGGGGGTGGCCCGCGAAGACGTGAGGAGAAAGGGCTTGCAGGCCTTGAGCACCGAGGAGGGCATCTGGGCTGTGGTCCTGTCGCAGCGGGAGTGCAACGCCAACACAGTCCCGAAAACCAACCTGCAGCTGGAAGAGGTTCCGCACCGCGTGTGCGTCTCCCTGGACTACGAGCTGGGGCTGGTGACCCTGTTCAACGTCGAGACGCAGGCTCGCTTCTTCGCTTTCAACGCCGCCTTCTCCTGCAAAATGTTTCCTTTCTTCGCAGTCTGGAAAACAGGCTCCTGCCTTGCTTTGAAAGGCTGAGGTGGACAGTTCCCGGGGCTGTGCATCCTGTAGAGACAGAAGCACCCTAGGGTGCAGGACTCCTGGCCAGAGGGGTGACCTCGGACTATTAATTGTACCCAGCTGGGGCGGGGACAAGGCTGTCTGTACACACAGCTTTGTGATTGTTTTTATTTATTTATAGTACGTCCCTCAACTCCCTGCCTTGGTCGCCTGCCAGCGTTCCAGTTCTGTTCTGGGGGAAGAACCAGAGGCAGGCAAGACTGCTCCTAGGTCACCAGCAATGCTGGGGAGCCAGAGGGATTTTGAAATAAAAAAAGCAAACAAACAAAAAGCTAAAAAAAAAAAATTTTTTTTAAGCTGCAAAGGAATCAGCAAAAAACAGAATTTTGTTGGACTGCCCTAATTTACAGTTACAGTTGGGGGGGTGTTGGATCATGCACAAGGGGGTGCTTCCCACCTTCATAGGGTTTAGGGCATCTTCCAGGCCTGGGTGGATCCAGGTTCCCTTCTTTTCTAACACCCTTCAGGTCATTTTCTTGTACAGAACATCCTAATAAAGTGTGGGGCTCAGCCAAACTCTGCATTTTATGTGTCTGATCAGTGCTGCTGGGTAGGGAAGAAAGTCTTAAAGCCGAGGTGCCTCTGCGACCAAGACACAATCCAGTGACCAAGACTCGCCCAAGAACAGTGGACACCAGAGTCCTGGTCAGTAAAACATCACTGTTCAGATCTAACCAACCTCTCAATATTTATTATTATTAGCACCATTATTATTATTGTACACAGATACAGACTACACATTATGATGGGTTTACAAAGCGAAGTATGAGTCTTTGTAACAGCCATGTCCACGGCACCACCACCTCATTCTGAGTCTAGCTTTCTCCCTCAACACTCCCTCCTGCTCACTGTCCCATGGGAACCCGTAAAGGCGCTGCCCACATGGAGGGGAAGCATCCTTTCAGCTTCATTCCCAATCCAGTTCCTGAAAAGATCAGGAAGCTCTGTGCAGTTAAAGCATGAAAGGTCAGGCCACGTTTCTAACAAGTAGGAACTTTATTGCACTCTCAGGTAAGGGTCACAGACCCCAAAGACAGAGTAGAGGTCAGTGAAGTCTAGGGAGTGTGGGTAAGTTTTAGGGCGTAGGGAAGCTGCTTTGCTTTTCTCTAAGGCAATCAGTGATGCTTATCTGTATACCAGCCACGCAGAGTTGATTCCGGGAATGCAGGCAGCTCCCACACTTTAGGGGACTCAAGGTTAGGAGGCTCCAGTGTGCCCCAGATTCAAGGCTCCCACCCTAGACTTTCCCAGGCCACCTCAACTTATAGTTCCCTCAGTATGAGTTTATGTAGAGATTACCTCCTAGAGCCTATGACTCTAGCTCTTGAAGTATGGGGCCAGATGTTTTATACTATAAGTACTTGTGCCAAATGTGAATTTCATTACCAAATATATTATCAGTCACTATGATGTGGACAATTACTCCCAATTTAACAGAACAAATAGGCAGCCGGAGGACTTGAGATTTCTGCCATGTAACAGGCAGGGCATGTGTATATTTAATTCAGAGAAAAGTCAAGTCAAGTTGTTTGATGGGTCAATGTCAGTGGGGGTGGGGGTGGTGATATCATAGGGCAACCCCATACTAGCAGTATGGTGTTACAGGGCACCCCAATGTGAATTGGGCTGCCTGACTGTGGGTCCTCACCCATGTGCTTAAGACTCAACTGCACACACACAAAAAGGTTAATAATGGTTTTATTTACAAGAAAATCAAGGGAAATGAATAACTCAGCCCCAATAGCATGCTGAAACTGGTAAGAGCCAAGAGTCAAGCCACCAGCCACGAGGCCAGGAGACCCCAGGAATTCCCATGTCCAGTTTTATATCCAACCTGGCTGCTTAACTCCACCCTCAGGTCCCAGCAGGCTCCTCTTTGATATTGATGGGATTTGTAGTTCCAGTGTCTGGGGTCGGGGTGAAGTCCACAAACCCTGTTTGTCTGTAGAGTCCTCAGGACATCCTGGCCCCCTTACAGTAGTATTGGTGTTAGAGGGCAGCCCCCACTATGAAATGGGGTGCCTGACTGTGGGTCCTCACCCATGCACTTAAAGTAACTGATAATATGCCACTGAAGATGCACATAAAGAGGCTAATAAAGGGCTTATTTACAGAAGTAGGAAAATGAGGAAATGAATATTTCAGGGAGAAAGAGAGATAAATTGGTAAATGTGTCCTACCAGTTCCACCAACCTGGAATCCAATGGCTCCTGAGAGCCGGTGAGACCCAGAGCCAAGAGGAGCCTGAGGAGCAAGGGAGAAACCCAAAACCAAGACCCCTCTGAGGCCCATGTGTCTGGTTTAGACCAAACTGGGCTGCTTAACTTCCACCTCAGCTCCCAGCATCCTCCCTTCAGTGATGACAGGATTTGTAGTTTCCCGTGTCCTGATGGCTCTGGTCTGGAGTGGGGTGGGGTCCACAACACCTGGGGAGTTGCTGCAGGTCATCCTTTCCCCCTAACAGTGTTACAGGGCACCCCAATGTGAATTGAGTTGCCTGTCTGTGGGTCCTCACAGTCAATCATATTATGGACACACTCAAAAAGGTTCAATAATGGATTTATTTACAAGGAGAAAGGTAAAGGAACAACCCAGGGAAAGAGAGAGAGAAATACAAGTTAACTAGAATGTCCTACCTGTTCTGCTGACGTGGACTCCACCAGCACACTGAAAGCTGATGGAGAGTCAATGACCAGCTGCGAACCACCAGGTCAAGAGACCCCCAGGGCCCACATGTCTGGTTTTATCCTAACCTGGCTGCTCGGCTCCACCCTCCTGTCCCAGCGTGCTTCTCCTTGGCATTGATGGGATTAGTAGTTCCAGTATCTGGAGGGGGGGGCGGAGTCCATGAAAACTATACCTGTTACAGTAGTAGTAGTAATAGTATTACCTAATGTTTATTATAGAAACTGTGGACCCTCGTGGTTAAAAAAACAATTCAAGGCCTCCGCTGGTGGCACAACGGGTTAAGACACAGCACTGCAAGTTAGCCACAGCCACTTCAGCAGTGAGATTCTGGCCTGCCCTGGAGCTGACCCACATGGCCTGGCAGAATTCTCCTGACCTGCCCACTACTCCCCTCAGCAATGTACTTCGTTGATCTGCCTGTTCTGCTCCCCACTCTCTCTCTGGTGAAGCCTCTCACTGCCACTGAACCTCTGGCTTATACCTCAGTTCTGTGTGCATAAATAAATAAATCTTAAAAGAAAAAAGTTTTAAAAAAAGGTTCTGACATTTTTAAGTGAATAGGTTTAAAAAATCTTTTAATAAGCACTCCATAATAATCACCGGTATCAATTATTGGTGTAACTTACCAATTCTGTATACAAGTATATTTAGTTTTAACTTTTTACATGAATGAGATCACACCATATTCGTTGCAGCTCCCAGAAGAAAAACAATATGCAATACATGCTAATTATCACGTGTCAAACATTACCCAAATTAAAACCGTGTTTTTCCTAAAAAATACCTCGCTTTCCTATTCATGGGAGGATAAAAAGTGAGAAACTGGAAAGTTTACTACAAGAAAGTGGAAGTAAAGGGGTTAATAAAGATGTTAATCCAGCTGTAGATACTATCAGAGGGCTGTAGGGAGGTCAGGAGCACAGACCTGCAGGTGAAGATCTGAAGATTAAGGAACAAACATCCACTCACACAGATGAGCCCATCCTACCGAAGATGATAAAACCCAGCTCTGCCCCACAGTAGGGCAGCAGTCTTCCACCCCCTGTGCCCATGCAGGTGCTTCTTCCCACCCACTCTCTCCCTCTGCAGGGCAGCAGCCTCCTGCCTGCCCGTGACCTGCACCTGCCGGGGTTTCTCTGCACTGACCTCCCTCAGCGGTGGCTGCTCTCCTAAGGCCGCCCACCTGCAACCATGCAGTTCTCTTTGCCTGCAAACCTGTCAATTCTGGGGCAGCTCTTTTTGCCCACTTGTGCCTATGCAAGTGTCTTTTCTTCTCCTGTGTCTCTTTCTAATCAACTTAGTCTTTAAATATAGCTGAGTCTCTGTCTCATGAAGAATCACACCACTTGCAGCTGAAAGGGTGAAACCTTTTCCAGAGTGAACCCAAGGACCCTGAACTCAAAAGACAACATCAGTCAGGAAGCAAAAAAAAAAAAAAAAAAGAAAGAAAGAAAACCACAAAAGAACTGCTGGATAGATGTAAGGTGTTGTGGAAAGAAGGAGCCCACAGAGCAGACTTAGAGAAGTTTACTGGGCCAGTTTCTGACTGGACTCCAAGGGAGATGGGGTTGCCAAGGGAGTGCAGAAAAGGAATTTATACCCAAGAGAGGTGGGGGAGGGAACTCATGGCTCAGAACAGCCAAGGTGGGATGTACAGAGGAGGAAGTCAAGGCCCAGGTGATCCTCAAACAGGAATATGGGGTGTCCTCTGGTCTTGACAACTGCCTCCTCCTGGATTCTATCCACAGGCCAAGGTCAGGGAGCCCTTCTGTCCCCCTGGCTGCCTGGGCTGGCCTAACAATTGCATGAAGAGCAGCTACACACTGGAAGTGCCTCAGAGCAAAGGCCAGGACACCAGGTATGCATGGGACCTCGATGACGGCAAAACGCTCTGTACACCAAAGGGTGAGGGTGTCACACCAGCGTGTTCTGCCCACTGATCTTGTAACAGGTACAGGTTTCATGGACCCGCCCCCACTCCAGATACTGGAACTACAAATCCCATCAGTACCAAGGAGAAGCAGGCTGGGACGTGAGGGCGGAGCTAAGCAGCCAGGTTGGGATAAAACTGGAGTTGGCTCTGGGGGGCTCTTGGCCTATGGTTCGCGGCTGATCGTTTTGGTTCTCAATCGGTTTTCAGCATGCTGTGGAGTCCACGTCAGCAGAACTGGTAGGACATTCTAGTTAACTTGTATTTCTCTCTCTCTTTCCCTGGGTTGTTCCTTTACCTTTCTCCTTGTAAATAAATCCATTATTGAACCTTTTTGAGT